GCTACAAGTAAATCAACCGGCTCTTTTCAGAGCCAACAAATCATCAAAAGAGGGATAATCCTCACGCTGTTCGCTTGTTTTCCTAATATTTAAATTTTATTTTAAATGTTTTAATTTTCATGAGGGCCAAGCTACACCACGTGGTCTATTGCAAGCGTGAGGCACTGCATGTACTGTGTGCAATCATGCAATGTACACAACAAATTAATTTTAAATAACGGGTAAAGTTTGTATGTCCCCCCCCCTTAAAACTGTCCAAGACATCAGTGTTTTCATAATTATAAAGGTATTTTCAACGATTCCCCTTTAAGGGACTGGCCCCCTAATGCTGGTATCCCTCACCCCGATTGGCCAACATTTCATAAGTTTTCATATAACACCCCAGCCATGCCCGGAAAGCACAGTTAGATGATAATTTGAGCTTAAGCAATTCAGTTACTTCAAGTTAAAGCAACCTCCATACCGACTGATTTTTAAAGGATTTTTTCTTGGAAGAGCTTTTTTGTTAGTGTGGGAATATTCAATCTTCGTCATATTCCATTCTTGGAACCGTTTTACCAGCATCAGACGATTACTTATCTCGAATGACCGACAGGTTTCAGGAAAACTACATCCATTCAGAAAATAACACAAGCGCCCCCTCGAAGTCATTATTGACTACCCGGCTATGATCACACCGTCTCAAGCGCGGTGCGGCCGACCGAAAAGGTTTTCAGTCAAGCCTCATCTACTTGCAACGTTGGAAATCCAATGGATTTATCTTAATGCCCAAGTACTGTTCTCACTCAATATCTTAAGGACGAAGTTTTGCCTGTTTGGCGAGAACTCATTACATGTACATGTTTTTCTCAATCAGGTAGTATTCAAACGATCATAAAACGACATAATACCGACGATGCCTACGAACTCTTGGATGCATGGATTTCAAAGAAACTGAGTGGCGACTTTAGAGAGTAATTATCATCAGGAATAAAAAGGAAAATTTGTGACCAAATCAAAATAAAACTTTCCACTCTGGAAGATCCGGGTATCGATCCCGGTACCTCTCGCATGCTAAGCGAGCGCTCTACCACTTGAGCTAATCCCCCTACTGCATCGTAATTGTGTGTACATGTACATGTGTGCTCAATATCACATGCTTTGATTGTACTTGTGCGATGTAATAAGATGGTCTAATTATGACAAACTATTCCTGAAACAGGGTGTATGTCGATCTGCGCTAAGTAACTTTTATGTAGAATTTCTTCCCCTTCATATACCGTGCATGTAAATACAAGCCGAGCTTATACATAAAAAGAGGAAAATAGTATTTTCCCTTTCTAAACATTGTTGTGAGTTCGTTCGCGCACTACCCTTACAGGGCGCAGGGGTGGGCTAATGTTTTTGGCTGTATGACTTGATTTGTCCAATCCCTATATTGGATATGTGAACAATTCAAACAAGACTGCAACAGCTTATCGGTTTCTTCTCACTGTCTCAGACCATCAGATTTGAAACAGCGCCCTCACTGGTTAGCGTTTTTCCTTGGTATCAAGAGCGGACGCTATTGCGACCACCCACACTTTCCGTGTGATTCAGAATGGAAGAGAAAGAGGAAAATGAAACTGCTCTAAACAGTTATACATGCAAATTATATGTTCACTTCATTTATTTTTAAGTACATGTAGGAAACAAATACAGTTGAACCTCGTTAATAAGAGGACTTGACAAATTACCTTGTTTTAACAGGAACCTTGTATTTACAGTGCTTTTCTTATTGAGGTTTGACTGTACATGTAAAAATCCACAAATCGAATGTCGTATACTACACTGAAAACACCTTAAAGGATTAAGAAAGCGAACCAATTTTCACTATATGGTGGCTCTTCTAAAATATTATCAGACACAAGTAGATAAGGGACAAAGACAATACAATCATGTAATATGATTTTTTCCTTCACTTTTTTAAAGAAAAAACCTGCAAAAGGGAATTTTGCCAAATATTTACCAGCATATTAGTTTACAGAAATAAGAAATTTCCTGTCCTGACAGCGAAATTTTGTGCCGAAAAGCGACCCATCACTCCCGAAAATGAACAACACATATGCGTTATTAGCATATGTAGGTTTAAAAGGATCGAACCTTTTATACGGCAGGTTTCAAATAAAAATGAGATAGACCTACATACTGGAGAAAAAATCAGTTTAGCAGATGAATATTGAGGGTTTAATTTTAAAGGAGTATACGAGACATTACAACAGTTGCATCCAGCATCATAACTTGATTGAGATTGAAAAGTTTAATTTATGACTTGGTTGAGAATGAAAATGTTAATGCTTGCTATTGATTATCTCTCTTTTGAGGATTTGTTGGCTCTGAATAGAGCCGGTTGGTTTTACTTGTAGTATTCACACGGACACTCTGTTTGCCGTCGACGGAATAAGTCTGCTGCTGATGAACATGCCCAGATTACTAGGTGTGAACTTGGACGGAAGTGGCTGCAGGCTGCCCAGGTTGGTTGGACAGTACTTGATTGTGTGTGCATCATCTCCGCTGATTCCACACAGTGGACAGATGTAAGCCCTTAGCCTAGGACAGACCACCTTGTCAAGGCTGTTCTTGAGAACGTGTGAGGTGTAAACTGCTTCACTCTCGCCGTTGTTCTTGCAGAAGACGCACCAGGTTGGCTTGGGAACCGTCCAGCGAGCTCGTCGAGATGGACCGCTCTCACGGGACAGCTCGTCGATGGTGAAGGGTCGGAAACCGGTGGTCGGCCCGCTGTCGATGTTGCTGGTGTCCTGGTCCGGCTCCGCGCATTGCTTTGGCATCTGGAGATCTTCCGGTGGCTCAGAGACAGAGCTAGGCTTGGGAGGTGGTGCGTAGATCTTGGTAATAAGACGGGCTAGACCAAGGTAGTCGTGGAAGCGATCAAACTCTCTTGGTATTTCTACGAAGCACTGCTGTCTTTCTTGAACGACTGGAAAACTGCTAGTGCAGCGAGACATCTTCGGTTGAGATACCGAGATCAACAATGTTGACTCAATGCAAACCAAATCGGAAGTGGTGATTTAGTGCCAAACAGGCCCGACTTTATGTCGAAGATCTTCGATGAGGTCGGCACTCAGACAATGAGAACACATTGGCGGCAACATTATAGACAGATGCGGCTTGACTGATGCTCTTTAAGGCCGGCCGCGTCGCGTTTGAGACGGTGTGATCACAGCCAAGCAGTCAACAATGACTAAGCCCACAGACTCCAACTTGCGGTTTCGCCTGAGCGCTCTCGGGTCAAGAACACGCAGAATCACAAGAGTGCCCATTACCAACTTCTCTGAATGCATTTGGTGTTACTTGTCAACGACGAAGTTATCGCTGGATTTGTACAGAAACTTAGCGGGCTTTTTGATCCCTGCATCTTTGTATCAAAGAGCGGAGTTTTAAGGACGTCACGCAAACCTGTCCACAAAGTCACATTAAAAGTGACACCCTTTCAAGAAATGCATGTATGGGTCAAAGACCGACGGGTCGAAAACCCGCCACCTGGAAATATTTCACAGGCTTGGAGCTTCCAATTAGAAATTAGCTTGTAAAACAAAAAACTGGGAAAGATCTTGAAGCAGAAAGCACGGACGTTTCGCCAAATTCAAATGATCGCATGCTGACGGCCGATTACATGCCGTCCATTTTCCTCCATACAAGAATTCGTGCCGACTATGCAGTCTCTTTCTACAAATAACTGACCAAAAAGTAGACTTAAATCCTTGGAACGTCAAGTATTCCTGCCTCACAAATACAAATGAGAACACCTGTACATGCAATCTCAATTTCTTTCTGTCCCATTTCTAAAATGGAACGAAATGACTGGAATATTCCCGACTATCAGAAGGGTACGATAATACAGTTCGTCTAGAAAAACACAATTCATTTATATTTCCATGAAAAATTAACTCGATTCTTTATTAAGGTTTACCATTTGTCTCCATCTGTGAGTTCATTGGAGACATTAACACAATTGTATTCACAAATTAAAGACTGCCGCAAAAGATCAAGAATTATAAGTACATGGATAATTATTCCTCCGTGTTTTAACTTCAAAAAATGCAGCACGGCAAACACGAAGTGACAGATAGATGCCTGGACAGTAAAGTATTGGGAAATTTTGTTTGGGGCTTATTTCTAATTCACATTATGAAAACAAATATTAAAAAGCCGTACAGTTCAACTTCTTTGTTTTTTACCTCACTCGAAGTAAAACTCATTCTTAAAAATCAATCAAATTATTTTTTTCACTGATGTACTGAGCGTGTCAGCCCTGCAAAACCACAATCTGGGCCAGTGACAGGCACACACGTGGTGAAGTCGCTGCCAAGGCAAGTTACAGGGCTACTGCAATGAGCAAGTTATTTGACTGTTGGTTCACACGCTACAATTGGGTGAGTGTTACTGATTGGCCAAACAGAAAGTCAGGGATCATCGTGGTTGACAAGAGATTAATGTATGTTGCTACATCACGATGTTACTGTTTAAGACCCCCATTCTATTCAAAGTCAAATTACAAACTTCATGTTTTCTTTCGGTGTGATTTAATGTCAATCCGCACTGTTGTATTCACAAAATAATGACCGCCGGTATAATTATTCTTCGATGTTTTAGCTTCAAATGTAAAATGTTGGGGAAATTTTGTTTGGGGCTTATTTTTCATTTAAGTTATGAAAACAAATTTAAAAAGCTGTACTGTTCAACTTTATTCTATTCAAAGTCAAATTACAAACTTCATGTTTTCTTTCGGTGTGATTTAATGTCAATCCGCACTGTTGTATTCACAAAATAATGACCGCCGGTATAATTATTCTTCGATGTTTTAGCTTCAAATGTAAAATGTTGGGGAAATTTTGTTTGGGGCTTATTTCTCATTTAAGTTATGAAAACGAATTTAAAAAGCTGTACTGTTCAACTTCTTTGCTTTTTTTATGCTCAATCAGAGAAAACGCATTCTTGATTACATGATTCAACCACTTTACAAAACAGTATTTAATGACAGCCATGGGCAGAGATTTCTTGTCACATATGGAGGAGGGGATGATATCTGAAAGCTCAGCGTGGCCTCCATCCCAGGTGACATCATGACACCGACATGTGCAGAGTACGGTGGTGCAGGCTAAGGGTGTGCATAGTCAGTGACTTGAAAGGGGGGGGAATGATTATATTGGTTATCTCACAGGTCAAAAAGTGTGGGGGGTATATATCCCTCACCCCGAGGATCTCCGCCCATGATGAGCTCAATGATCAGTGCCATTGTGAAAACCATTAAAAGGTATCATAAATAATCATGAAAAAAAGTGTGACATTTAAATGTCTGCATATCAATTCCTTGTATCTCCATTTGTGATCACAAACACAAAACAAAACTAACAAATGCGAAAACTTTTGTTTATTGCATTGCAGCTTCCAGCTGCTACTTCAGGAAAATAAAAGAAAATCCTTATGTTTCAAATCATCCAATACACCTAAGAGATAAATCAACAAGATTTACATATAATATATGAATTTTCTCAAGAATAGCAAACAATGACAGGGACTAACCTCTCACCTGTGCATCTCAGAAGCCGACCAAGGGCTTTGAATTCATGTGCATTTGACAACTACACCACTCACAAGGAGCACGATCACGTCACAACCTTTTTCAGTTTTCCATCAAAAGCAGCACCCTATGGGGCTAGCTGGACACACTTTGGTCCAGCAAGCCACAGACACGCATGATTTTACCTTACTCTATTCAATACTGTTTAGAAAACAATAAACTTCACCTGCAGTGAGTTTAACACAACCTTGATACCTCTTGAAGTGGTAACATTCAATCAAAGCTATGGCATCAACGCGTTCCTTTCATGTTCATGAGTAGTATATATTTAGCCTGCTGTGAGTTTCTGGGTGTAAGAACGCAGCACCTCCTCTGCTGTAGACCTCTTGCTCATCTTGTTAGCTTTGCCTTGGTAACGACCAGTCTTGCTTGCTCCTTTCCCCTCTAAACATTCGGCAATCCTAACCACAACCACAGAATGTAACAAAAGAATTACGGAAGTGCAAAATCAGACTACTATTTCAAGTACCGGTCAAAGATGACTTGCTATCTCTGGGCAACCAATGTAAACAGTATTGTGCTTGCTGTTGCACAGAGCAAGGGGATAATTTTCACATGCTTCGGGGGCTGCGTGTCACATCGTTTGCATCGATTTGAGCAGGTCCACATTGGCTCACAGGTGATGTAAACAATAAAAAAAAGGGAAAACAATGTTTTCTGTCACCAGGTGTCTTGAGAGTGTCTGATTGTACAGTGACAGTGTCAGCCTGGAAAAAAATGCCAGCCTAACATTTAAAAAAAAATTTCATCTGAGACAAAGACAACAAAACGTTTTCGTCATGCACAGCTGTCTGGAAAACAAAATTATCCATGACCTGGAGGTTCATGTGCTTTCATGATTAAACAAAAACATGTCAATGTACACATTACTTTGTTGAAACTTCTTACAATCAATTAATCAGAGCTATAACTCACTTAGGTCCGACTTCTTTGATGATGTCATCTGGGCCTGCAGCTAAGAACATCCCAGCACCCTTTTCATCACCAGCTGTGAGCAGTGCTAAGCAATTCTGTCAGTCCGGGAAAAAAATGAATAGTCAGTTAAAACAAAATGAAAATTGGATTTTAAAAATTATCCAGACTGGTAGCAAAAACTATATAATGTCACAAAAAAGCTTAAACCCTTGAAACAACATAATATAAAACATCACTCAAATTTGGGCATAAACAACTGCTTACACTGAACTGGCTGCAAATAAGCCTTTGTTTTCAGTGAGATTGATGATACCCAATTATTGAAAGGTTGAGGTAAGGGCTGTAGGTAAAGGAAACTTTTTTCAATCTTGTTTCCTGAATCTGTTTTATAAATTGTAAACTGCTGAACATGGTGGCACTAGATGATTTTTATGATTGATGTGTGTTCCAAGCCCCCATTTCCAACTGTTTCAAAATCTGCCTGAAAAAACTTTATCGAAATAGAAACATACATGTACTACATTGTAGAATTTTACTTTATTGCTTTCATTTGTAATCAAAATCCAAAAATGAAGAGTTAACCTCACTTTCAATTTCACATTAGCTGACTTGCAAGAGTCTATCTTCGTGAACACAAAGTTAGTATGAGAAGTTTGCTAGTGCATGAACATGGTAACATGTCTTGTCAACCAGCAGAGCCAGATGTTCTAACAGTATGACAACATTACATGTAGATATTAATCTCAGCAATCTGTTTTCAGTGGCCAAAGGATGGATTCAGAGTGTGTAAATCAATACAAAGCAGGTCTTGATTAAGTCCCCCCAAAAGTACAAATACAAGAACATCTAACAGCACTTCACTGTACCTGCAAATTGATTTCATTTGCTATCATGTTCAGGAATTCCAAGTCGCCCTCTTTCCGGTGAAGAACCAGGACGGGATCTTTGTCAGCTTGGTTGTTATAGCGATAGGCTTCGAGTGCAGCAAGGTCTCTTAGCAACATGGTGGTGCTCTAAAATAACATACACGGAGATTTCCAGGCATCAGAGGTTCTTCAAATCTTGGCTTCATTAATGTTGCAGCTTCAGGCTTGAGTATTATGGATTTATTCAAAACATTGTTTGCAATCAATCTCCTACCTATATAACGAAAATCTTCCAATGGCATATATATGCTCATCTGCAGTGTTTAAACCCTACTCACTCTGCCCAGCTAAATTGTAGAAATGAACACATTTTCCTATCTTTTATTGATTCTAATGGAGGTAATTTTTTCAGTTGAAATATTATTTTTGAAAGATCTTATATCCTTGTGACCTAAAGATCTCTGTATTAACGTGAATGTAACAGAAAATGATTTGAATTGTGAGCATCAATCAGTCAATCGCCACAGTTGGGCCCTGTCCAAATCAGAAGAAAGCACTTTATAAATGCCATTTATCTCTTATCTTTACCTTGTTGGCTACTTTCAATGATTTCTGGATCTTCTCTGCAGCCTGTGGGTGGCCATCAGGTCCGCACCTGTCAACCAGACAAGCAAGTACAACAAAAAATTGACAGAACATCATTCCAGGCTGCCCGTCGTCTTTCATAAACACGTCACCCATTCAAATGCTCAGAGCAACTTTATCAGGAGAACAATCGCAGTCATCTCTGGCGTGTGGTTCCGAGACCTGACAATGTTTTCATCAATTGCTGCTGGCTTGCCTCCATTCTTAAACAGAACAAGAGCAATGCAACAAAAGCCCGCCCTTGTCCAATTGCATATTTGAATCCCCATATTTGCACATGTGTGAAATGCAACAATGGAAAATACGTCATTAAATTTCTAAAATATCAAGATCAGCAAGGGTGCAAAAGCTATTTTGCAGACGAATAATCTGTGTTAGCTGAATAAAATGTAAAAAGGTCCTAAACTTGCTCTAGGCAGTTTTATTTTTTCATGTTTAAACTCATTTGGAGTCATCTGGCAAGTGATTGAAGACGATGTTACCATTTGATAAACAATGGGACATGAGACTGACTATCTCCACACATTTCCTGAAATCTTTCTACATGCAACATCTTGCTGCACATGTTCTCTACATCGATGGTACTTGTTTGCACCCAAGAGTGGCACATCCTGCTTCATTGGCATAAAAAGTCTGTTCCATGCCATGTGGCTCATCCTGCTGGTGTTTATCTCTGGTTTCCTAGGCATGAAATGACTGAGAATAGTTCTATTCCCCCTGGATGGGATGCCAGTCCATGGCAGGCTGCTTCCCCAGCTAATGCTGATACCCATTTATACGCCTGGGTGGAACGAGGCAAGCAGGGGTGAAGTGGCTTGCCAAGGGCCACAACATGCTGTCAGCAGTTGGAGTCGAACCCCCGACCCTGTGATCAGAAGCTACAAACCCTAACCATTAGGCCACATGCTCCAGTAATGGTTGCTCACATGCTCAACTGGCATAGCTGGGGTTAAACTATTTCACAATGTACTTAAACTGCTCCAACACAGCTTATAGAGAGGGACTTACAGTAACCCCCCCCTTTCCTCTTGAAAACAACCATGTTAATCTTGAAAGTCAGACAAGAAAGACAAGTACACACTTGAGGAATCCAGTAAGAAGTTTCTCATTGGTAAGGCACTTCCCAAGGTAATCTAGCACCCTGTTGCCGGCCAGAAAATAAAGGTTGGTTTTGCTTTTCTTCCCTTTCTCTGCACCTAGAAGCTTGATAGACTGTCAGAGAAAAAAATCAGCCATAAATAAATTACACCGACTGACTTTGGAAGGAACTTGAAATTACTTTTCACATGGTTTATCATGGATCATTCTTGGCTAATTTATTGCACTGTCATCCAAGTTGCATTCTGTCCATTTTTTTTAAAAGAGAAGTCCCATTTTAGAATGTAAGCTTTGAAGAGACAAAAAAATACCCTGCTAAAAATGGAGAAAAGAAGAAATTCTACTTCTTGTTTTCAAGCAACAATTAAATTCTGTACAATGATCTAAACCGTCAAACAACAAATAAGCCCAAAACAAATAAAAACCATAAAAGCGCCTTTTAAATGAATTAAGAAATTTTGGAAATATGGCAAAATGTGCATTCAAATGGTGTGATTTTTTAAGTTTGATAATGTTTCAGGACGACGTGATGCTAAACCCGATCCGTTTCCATTCCGAGTCTGTTTGAAGTGTCTGGAAGTGGGGACAAAAGTTGACTACAGCTCTCAGTACAGTGATGCCCTTCAAGCCTGACGAATTTGTGATACCAGTCTTGACTTCTATATTTGCTCACCTGCAGATGACTAAGATTGGCAACATGGGTCCCACAGCAAGTGTTGGCTTCGATGGTCTCGATCTCTACGATGCGGACTTGGCCGACGTGATCATCGGGCAGTCCTCTTGTTCGTACCTAGTGGAAACATCAAGGGGTGGCTTCTCTATGACTGAGAGCGTTTCGTCTCTAACAAATTTGAATCTTTGTCACTCACTGTTCATTCCGTAGCAATGGCAATTAAGACACTTTCTCATACTGCCGAATGTATCTTCTTGGTGGACATACAACTGAAGCCACAGGTTTACATACACCTGCACAACAGATTTCCACAATGTTTTTGGACTCAACCGTTTCCCAGGACCAGTTGCTTTGTAACTCAGTTGCATTGGAATTAGAGCTCATTTTCAACACAAATATTAGACCAAAATCAGGTTTTTAAGATGGCTTCTTGGCCATTTGGGGGAAAATGTGTTCAAAATCTGCTTCGCCAACAGTTTACACACATCTCTTCAGCCCTCTAAGTTTGGTGCTTCAGGAAATAAGGTAATGTATCCCCTCTGACGTTCTTTGGAACTGTATAAGTTGCCATGCACTCTTGAAACACACCCAGGTGTTGATCACCGTGGAAATGGCTGGGAATTACACTAAGGACTTAAGGGAGCACATTTTCATAGAAACGACAGATCAACTGCTGATCAATAGGTGAAGACATGCAGCAATTCAAGAGGTTTGTCAAAAGATCATAGAATACACCGCATCTTGGTCATACAAGATCTGTTCCACACGGTTTGGGAAGCCATTTGTAGGCACTCTGAGCGTGTATGCTCTCCGCAGTTCCAATCTTCTTGATTACTCTTTCAATTAACCAACAGGTTGATTTGTTTACTGGGCAATTTTCATGCCAGGCCCAATTCACTATAATGAAGAAACAAGTAGTCAATCTGGAGGAGTTTGTTTTGTTAAAGAGCAACTCGAAGGAAAACATGTTTTCTCTGATTTTATCTGTTCAAATAAACATGGAAGCATCCAAATTGATTCTGAGAAGACAGAGAAAATGAGGGGAACCCTCGCCCTGTGTTTGTGGTGGATAAACCCTTGTGCATGTCAAACAGTGCATGTAGCCATTGTTTGGCATACACAAGGGTTTATCCACTACCAACACAGGGCGAGGGTTCCCCTCGTTTTCTCTGTTTTCTCAGAATGACACAATCTACAGTCAGCATTTTCAGAATTCGCATCTTGGCATGAACAGAAAAAAGCCCTTTTTAGCTTGTTATAGTTGAGCTCTGAAGACAAATGACACTGCATTTGATGTGGATGCTGCCATATGTATTTAAACAGGTGAAATCAGAGAAAACATGTTTTCCTTTGAGTTGCTCTTTAAAGTGTCTTTACAATCCCCATCATTCAGTTGGTCATTTTGACTGCAACCTTTTGTTTCTTCTTCTCACTTTCTTGCTTAAAAATGTTGGAGATCTTTGGTTTATGAAATTTTCTAGCCATTCATCTCAAAGGAAGCCCTAATTTTCATAAAGTGGTTTTCGAGTGAGCAAAACAGAAAATGTGACCAAATAATTAATACAGCGATTAAATTATTGAGCAAACAACTAAGGCTATTGGGTCTATCCTAAACAGAGCTCTTAACACAAACTCTACTTAATTTGAATCATCAAAAATCAACCAATGGTACTTTTCTAGCCCCTTAACTTTCAAGGTCACCAAGCCCCACGTAAAATAATTTACTTAGGCTCCATCATTATCATTCCAACCAAATCCTACCCAACCTTCCTGTAGATTTTGGAGTTTCTGGTTTACATTAGTTTTCATTTTCTTACGCTATTGAGCACTGAAGATCCTAGATCTACAAGTCTTGGCGTCATCGCCAGTTGCTTCCTGATTGCTGTGTTGACTTCTTTCTCCAGTTCCTGCATCTCCTCTACACCAATCTTGGGTGTATCCATCTCGATGAAGGATTTCTCCTTGCCGAGATCCCTGAGCAGATGAAACAAATCTACTTAGACTACAGAGGAGCCAGGAACTCACTGTTTCACCATTCAATCTAACCCCCTAAGTCGGTTTCTAATGTCATGGCACTAATCACCGATACTGTATTTTACCAATAAAGGGGCTTAGTTCATTTCACGCAGAACTTATGATAATTTTGAAAAAAAGAGTTCTGCCCTTACAACATTTTATGTATTCTTAGTGTTTGTCTGAGAGCTTGCAAAAAACTCACAAGCTTACTCAAGTGAGACTTGAATCCACAACCTCCACTTACTACTGAAAATGTCTTAACCACTCGTCCACCATGCTTGCCGGGGTCAGCTGGCCGGTCCATGTCAGACGTAGCAGTGGGCATCGCAAACTATTTCAAGGTGTGCCTTGCGTCAGGGAAATGTTAAGTTTAATAATGAGTTTTGCCCATACACTGACATATGTTCACAATGCAAGCTCTTAGACAAGCGCTGATTATACAGTAATATGAACATACGTCGGTGTAAGAGTAAACTTGTTACTAAAATTAAAATCGCCCTGACGCAAAGTACATCTTGAAATAGAACTTATGAATTCATGACATACATTAATCTACTTGTACAGACAAAACAAGACTTTTTGCAAACTGAATACAAATTGTGTCTCAGATACAATAAAACCAGACTTGTCTGACTCACCAAGATGTTGTGGGCCATCCATACCTCTCTTCTGCGATAGCTGTTATCAAATGTTGTGCTAGGATAAAAGAAGTTGCAGAGAGCACATTCACGTAGCAAATGGAAATGTGGCCGACTCTGTGGCACAGTGAACAAAGCTGAATTTATATCAGGGAGTGAAATTTCTTCAACACTGGCAAAGTCAAAATAAAACTGTTATAAAATTCAGACATGGGCTTTTTAAACACTGCTTTGGCAGTGTGATGTGTACTTTTTGAAAGACTCCTTGCGACATTTCCTCTTTTGAGTCATAATGAAAGGAAAAAGACTGGAGTGCTTCATCCACACCTGAGTGTTGCTGCATGTGGTCAAATCGCCTGGTCCAATCAACCTTCTGCAGGATCTCTGTGCCCGGTTCAATGGCCGTCTCAACAAAAAGGACAGCGTCACCTCCCCTCCTTGTCACCCGATGGACATCGATGCCATTCATCTGGGTGGACACACAGAGAAGTGGACAGGGGATCAGGATTTCCCAATACTGGCAGGGATGCCGTCAACGAAAGGCAACTATTGAACTCGAACCTCTTGAACAGTTTTGCTAGGAAACTTGAAGAATCTTCCCACATCCACAGACTATGCCGGCACCCTACGCTGTGTTCTTAACACCCAGGCAACCTTTATGTGGCATACAATTCTACTCACACATCTAACTTAGAAAGCCTTCACCTGAGACGGGTTAGGTTAAATTTTAGGGTTTGTTAATTATTGGTATTAATTTGACCTTTGTTTGCTTCATTGCCCACCCACAAACAACAACGATCACAAATAGACAAAACACTGTATTTAATATTTCAAATCCGAAACCTATTTTTCTGTAGAACCTGTAACGTGCAAATGAATCTCTGTATGAAACAGACGAAAGGAGTTTGTACTGAGTCCTGTTGTGTGAAGCTATTCCCATCACCTTTTCATACTGACAAAAAAAAATGGAAGCAACCACTCAGACGCATGGACCACATCTTCGCCAAACAAGGCAAAGTCCAAAAAGACAGGCATATTGAGCAAATCACACACATCACATGCACAATGTGGCAATGCAAAGTTATCTCGCGTTGTGGCCTTTTGAACATGCAGTTTTGCCAACCTGTACACAGGGGCTTTCATCTCGGTAAATCTGAGCTGGAATATAATGCTGTTATTAAGGGAACGTTGGCTGGTAAAAAAAGAACTAATGGACTTGGGAGACAAACAACTTAGACGAAGGTTGCCAAGGTTATCTTTACTGCTCCTGGAATCAGGGGTATAGCAAGGGGGGCACTGGCACCCTATGGAGGCCTTTTGTCACCATTTGGCCATTTGACGCCTTTTTCCACTTGACATTCATCTGGTAGATACAGGAAATATATGGATGCCCAGCATTTGAACTTCCCAACCAGCCTCATCTTAATTACATCAGTGTTGGGGATGGGCAAGTTAGCAAAACAAAAGCTATCGAAAAATTCCAGCATGAATGCAGCTGAATATTTTCTATTACAAACATTCAGAACAAAAGGCCTTACCGTTCCTCTGTCATCCGGCTGAAATAAAGAAAATAGAAAAGAAACGAGTCAAAACATCTTCAGAGGAAAACCTTGTACCTATTATTGTGTTCAACTGACATTTATATTAAGCACTACAGATGTGCAGAGGTGCGCAAAGATTACATGAGAATATAAAACCTTAAGCTTAGCTCAGTATAGCCAAGGTTAGACAACAGCTTCATCACACTGCAACTTATGTTCAAGGTATCAATTTATCCTGCCAAAGTGAACCTTTCGACAACACTTTTTTCAAACTTTTTACAGATGGAATAAACTAAAAGTTCATTCGCACATCTGTGCTTCTTATGTCTAGAATTAAATAAATGCGAAGTTTCGAAGAAGTAAATATGACTACACTCTAGGACCTAACACTACGTGTTTATAGAGACTATACAACAGTTTCATGCTTCCATTGTAAACACTGCGAACAAACCTCTCATGTGAAGACTTACAATGTAAGCTATTCCCCTGCCATATCGCTCAACATAGCTGTTATGTTTTAGTCCGGGAACCAGACTAACAGTTCTTATGCATTTCATTACAAATGTGTGAGTGTCCAATTAAGTCTTCACATGAGAAATTCACTTGGGATGTTTATGACCGAAGCAGGGAGCTGTGATATATTTTCTACATACACATCGCCCACGGACGTATTGACTTATTCCCAACCAAGACTGGTTGTCCAGCCTGGGCTAAGCACAGTAGCAGTGCATCATAACTGAGTCCAGCATCTGCCTGCCAGTGATTTGGACAGTTTGCAAATCAGAATTCCTTGCTTGGAGTTGAAACACTGATAAACATTAATACCCTCAGTGCAGCATGAGGTGGCTTTGTTACAACCCAAGTACAGCATCTGTCCCAACTACGACCCAACTACATGTATAACACTGTACCAACTATTTTTGAGCCCGTCTCAACCATATACATATAGTTGGAACAAGCCCAATTATAGTTGGGACAAATGCTAGACTGGTAGTTGGGGCATAACAGCACAACTTAAAAAATGATACGTTACAAGTAAACAGGTTCAACAGTACCCCCTGAACTGTGGGGTTCATCATCTGCCTCACTTCTACGAATGTAGCACAGCAGACGACGAACCCAATAATTCTGGAGGTAGTTTAACACTTCAAGAATCCATCTTTTCATTTGAAAGTGGATGCTCAAAAACTTGTGACTGATACAGCATTGTTGTCAGAGCAGCTCATCATGGAGAATAACCTCCTGGTCAATCATATCCTTCTCTGAAAAAATTGAAAATAGATTCAGTCAATACCTGACCTCCCCCCTCTGGAAAAAGAACAGTATCTTCTGTGATGATCTCATAGCCCTGAAGTGTTTGCTTCTTGCCATTGACTACTTGCTTGAGCTCAGCGGGCGTGCAAGACACAACTTTTGTAGTTAACTGTGAAGGTTAAAAACAAATCAAAGGCATAATTTAGAATGTTGTTCTATATCATTGATGATATACACATAGTTTCAAGCACAAAGGCCTATCCTTTTGGTAGGCATGAGGTCACCTGGTCTTGTTTCCTGTCTCTGATTGGTCAGTGGTGGCTGTTACTTTTGTCACACCCTCTGGAACAATGTTGTGGTCATGAGGGAAAGCCCAAAACATTGTCCCAACATTACACTTTTTCATTAACCTTAATCCCTTAGGGTGTATGTAAAACTACATTGAAATTGGAGGATTTGGGACTGTTAGGGATGTCTCAAAATTTCATGGTTTCATGTTATACCAAAAAAGTAATGTACATGTAGGGCCTATTCATTTTTATTGCTAAAAAATAAAAGGCCCTAAATTTGCAGGAGACCCAATCTCAGTTGTATCCCTGAATGTAGAGTATACATTTGAAACCCTCTTTTACAGGGAGATTTTTGGGGGGCCGGAGTGAAATCGTTGAATAGATTCTGGTTTTCTAATTTAAACATTTTCAAATGAATCACCAAATTGGGGAAACTCATCAGACTGAAATTTCGTCCCAAGTCACGAATATAGTCTATTCCCTACACAAATTGAATGGAGGGCTTCCCCTTTGCCTCACGCGTCCGACCAAGGTTTTCTGGATGAATGCCTACCACTGCTGGTGGTCTTACTAATTACCATCAACACGCACAGTCCATCAGCATATCACATCGTCAACACACCACCAACACCTCTGAAAGACTTGGTACAGCCTAGGGCCTACAGCCCAAGTTTTGCTAGAATGCAAAATGGAGGTCAATGGCTAAGCTGCTTAGAGATAATATTTTTTGTGCGAAAATCCTCCATTTTTAACATTGGAATGTAACCTCAAACCACTGAAAATTCTTGTTTAGCCCAAATATTGCAGTCCTGTGCCTCTTGAGTCTTAGGCTCTTTAGCTGAATTATACTGCATTTTGGATGTGTTAACGTTACTATCATGTGTTGACGGTTGGTTGACGGTGATTAGTAAGACCATCCGTGGTAGGACCCACTACCGGAGAACATGTGCAAGGACATGCGACATAGACCTATGAGGGGGACTGTATACTTGTGGACCCCCCCAGTTTTTTGACATTTTGATCTTGCAAAACTGGGAAGTCCCCCTAAAAAACAAAGGCAACATTCTCTTTATTGTGCTGACCCTATTTTCGGGAAAATTCCAAATTGTAAACTGTGAGAAAATGTGACTTTCTTACTGATAAACTAACCGTGCAAATTTGAATCCACAATGGGTCACATGTTAAAGGATCCAGGAAATGAATTTTTCTCAGAATCACTTTTTGTGTATCTCTGTACTCTTTTTCCATGTATGAAGACTGTTTGACATGTTCTTTGAGTTACGTAAACTGAGAAGTGCACTTTTTCAAACATTAAAAATTGACCAAGCATTTCTGGACAAGTGAGGGCGCTTTTGCTTTGATGTAAATCCAGGAAGACATGGTTCAGGTTGCATGTTTTCATGTTCAAATTGTGAACCCTAAATCTGGGAACAGTTCTGTGACAAGGATTTTTGCTGGATTGTTGCCATATACTTACACAGCAATAAATTGCCATAGAGAATGAAATCTGCCATAGCAGTGGTTAAAAAAATTGACAAATTTTCTGTGCACAAATCAGTGCAACATTGAGATTCAGTGCCTTGGATGACATCATAGTTCTGCTCACGAATATGCAAACTGCATTAGCATAAAAACCAAAAAAGCATCAAAATATGGGTTGAAATTGCAAAGCAAATATTCAAAATAAAGTTCATTGAATCCAAAAGATGCGATTTCAAGGATTTTTAGTAAAATTTATAAAATATTTCTATTTCATGGTTCCTTTAACCACTTCCTGCCAGGGAGCCCGGTTTCGGGCACTGTGTGTTTATACACGTGGCCGGGGTCTCCAAAATCGGATAAAGGGAACTGGGCCTTCTAACAAAAGACCGTCCTCGGAACAAAAAACCAGGCTGCTGCCGCGCTGGACTCATCTAGGCTTACTCTTCCAAAAACTAGGCTGTCTTCTGCTGGAGAGAGGCTGTTTTCTGTGGCTGGTCCCTGTCTCTGGAACCAGCTTGAAGTTCATCTTAGAGAGTCTAGGAATGTGGAGAGTTTTAAGACCGGGCTGAAGACGCACCTTTTTTTAAACAAGCATTTTTAGTTTCTTAGTATCGATTTTCATTATGGTACAAGTAGGTTTTATTTATTTATTTATATTTTGATGTACAGCGCCTGGGAGCAGGTTGATGGATTGGGTGCTTTATAAATGTCAATTATTATTATTTATTATTACCGAAATTTTTTCATTCTCAATAGTGGAGAAAATTCAGCCCTGTTTTGAAGCAGTATACCACAGTTTGGGGCATTTAGAGCGAATGGATTACCACCGGGGACATGTGGGTGTAAACGTCCATTAATTGAAATGATGAATTTTTGAAGAATTTTGAAAACTGAAAATCTTGAAAGAGTCCTGATTATGTGCACTGCATTTTTCAAAACACCTGACAGCAAGTATTAAAACACTCACAGTTTCCCCTCAAAATTTCCCTTAAAACTCAAAACCCTACCCTCTTTTGACAACATTAACCCTGCAGTTATTGAGCATGATGTCACTTTCATCTCCTAAGGTGAATTCAACAGTTAAAATGTAGCTCTCCCTGGGAAAAAATGTTGCATCCTGACTCCACTTTTCTCATCATATACTGGCCTATATTATCTCAATTAAAGTCAGTCATTGCAGACTGACAGAAATGCTGGAAAGACATGGATTCTGGACTGAGAAATATTTACCGATGTTATTGGGAAATACTTACAAAATTCTCTTTACTCCCAATTAAATAGACTTTGTACACAACTGCTGAAGTAAAGTCAGGATGCAACATTTTTTCCCTCCTTTCTATTATAGGAACAGGGTCCCCAAATTTACAATCCCCTAACTGACACGCACAATTGCTTGGCCCATATGATGCGTGCATGCTGAACACTCTTGATGGGAGTTCTGTGTTTATCGGTAACTTTACAACCCTCAGTTTTCATCAATTTTTTTTTCTCAAATCACAATTAAGATAGACCAGTTTACATGACAATTATGTCATCCTCAATATATACAAAACATTATCGCTGTGTCTGATTCGCTTTTTAGTGAAAAGCACGAAAACAGATAGGCCTACCTCTTTCAAGTAACTGTTCTTTTGACAGGCGAACGCCATGTTGGGTTGAAAAGTATTTATTGTCATTGATAGTTGTAAAAATTTAAAGTCATATACAAAATATGAAATAAAAGACCAAATTTAAAAAGTAAACAGGGTTATATTATTTATTTGATTACAAAAACGTAAGTTTCAGTATTCAAATTTTGAATTTGGTTTTGGATGTTTTAATAATTATTTTATAAATTTACATATTTTTTTATTGCAGCGAAAGCTGACATGTCTCCCTGTGAGAGAGATGGCGAAAATAGAAGATTATGACAGCAAATTTTGCAGAAGTTACTGTCGCATTTCGGAAGATTTCGCTTTTACTCGTTTCCTGTAGCTTATAGAAAGGAGCTAGCTCAGCATAATTACGAAGCACGGTATGGTTTATTGTAAACTTATTAGCCTAGTCGAAGATGCTTTGCACTCACTCGTAAAAGCTCAATTTATTTTTCCATGCGTTAGGACGGTTGCTTGCACATACATGTGCACAGTATGGTAAACTATGTAAACGGTACATGTTCGTGACATGTATATACATGTAGGCTAATTACTAACACTAGGTCTGCATTGTATGTAAGATCTAGAAGTGTACAGTGTACGTGTCTGTATACATATGGTAGACCTAACATGCCAGTAAAAGTACATGTACATTTTTGTACATGCAGGACGGTATCGTGTGTATGGGTAGGCCTCCATGCATGATACATGTATGTAATGCATCCACAAGTCACTATAATTTGCGCACTTAGTACTTTGGCCAAAATTTGCCCTTAAATATACTAAAATATTTATGGCTTCATTTTCAGAAGTTGAAAGTTTGACTAAAATCCTACTTGGAATAATATTATGAAGAACATTGGAGGTCACCAAAGCAACAGGAACAATGTCGCCCGCAAATGAGTAGGTTCGGCTGTAGTAAAACCTACGTCACCATAATTCGCGCACGTTTTTTGCAACTGTCATTTTATGGAGTATCGGTAATGCCCTACTTCTGATAAATCTGCCAGAAAATGTCTTTTGAATGAGGAGTTATTTTTTGCAGTAATTACTTTGGTTTTTATAATGCTGTTTGAGGAAAAACACTTTAGGCCTAATTCACAATAGCTTGACTTCCCATCACTTTCTTTTTTTCGTTCTCCTAGATCATAATTTTTTAAAATTTAATTTAAAATGACAGTGAGGCATGAAGTTTTATTGTTTCAAAAATATCATAATTAGCATTAAATTAATATGAATTAGTTATATGGATATTAGGACAAAACTTTTCTTTCTATGTGCATTTTTGAAAAAGTCGCAAAATACAGTGTCAGTGAATCCGCCCCTGGGAATATCAAAATATAAGGTGCGCGGTGTTTTTTCAGGCTCCGTATTTTTGATAATGCCTTCAATATTTGACAAAAGTTGATCAAAGTTTTCATTAGTGCCCGTATCGGATGTCCAACGTCGATCATGAACGAACAGCAATCATTCATCCTTTTTCTAGACAATTTCAGCCGGTTCTTTTTTGAATTTAGTCTGTAAAGGAAAGCTTTATGCTCAACATTTTTCCCGAATTCTCCATGGAAAAGCTTGCAAAAAGAAAAAACGTTGAAGTGACGATTGATCATCAATAGTAAGTTAACGTCAGAGCATAACTTCATTGAAGGGTTTCACCATGAGAAAGCTGAATGCGCAAATATTTGTACATGTATGTGCGAATTAAGGGTACTCCAAGATACATACGGTACATATTTGTGCATAGGGTGTAAAGCAGCATCATATATATGGATGTCATGAGTCATAGATGGTGCTGGATATTTGCATCTAATATTCATGTGGTCCAGTATATGGTTGAACAGTCAGATAAAATTTTGGCCAAGGTAAACGGAAAGAATATTGCAACTTGCCACCACCTCAGGGGTACAAAGTCTACGAGCAGTCAAGAAAAATTTTTGTGTATTTCCTAACAATGAGTCCCATCTATGGATGCCAGTAATTCCGCCCTACAGTAACTTAATAGCCATTAGAAAGCAAAAACATGTCCAGAAAAGTTCAATTTAGGAGGGAAAATACCAAGCCGTTTACTGAGAAAACATTTAGAATTTTCCGGACCAGTCTCATAGGGTTTGTGTACAGGGTGTCAAGTGGCATCTGTATGGACCTCTCTCCTTTTTTCTCAGTCCCAGATTCATGTCTTTCAGCATTTCTGCAGTGACTGGCCTTTATTGAGATGATGCATGATAAAAAAAGTTGAGGCAGTATGCAACATTCTTCCCAACAAAATGATCTATTCAGATCATTCTTTGTAGCCGCTTATATGCTTTGTATTGGATGCCTCTATAAAACAGGCTGGAAAAATTTATTGCAATGGCTATTGTCACTTCACTTTAAACTAGCTGCTGTCTACTGGTACTTGTGTCACATCACTTTGGAGCATTAGAAACAGGAACTAGACCAGTCTGTAACAGGTGGATTTCTTTATTTTCCTTTAAAGAACCCTCCAGGGATATTAATCTACTAGAAAAAGGAAGAGGAAAACATCTATGAAAAATAAACGTCTGATTTGATAAAAAAGAGAGAAAAAACAAGACTTGAAACAAATGATGAATGCCTCAAGTCTTAAACCTACATGTACCATTCATGTACATGTACATTTAGGTTAATGTACTTGTCTACTGGTAGACAGATAATGCTTATTGTGTGTGACCGTAGAATTTGGAAGTCGCATTCCTGCTTCTCTAACTATGGTATAGCCACTATGAAAATTTTATTTTCAAGATTTGAATCTAGTTGTCTTGTATGGGTCATGTGGTCAGTGGTTAGTGGTTACTAGGATGTAAACAATAAGATATTTAGATTGTGGGTTTTGGCAAAAAGGAAGGAAGCGAATCCTTTCATGTTGTGTATAATATTTACAAGATGGCAGCCACTCTTTTTTTTTCAATAAAAGTACAAGCCAAGTGCCACAAGTATGTTCCAAGAAAAAGCTTTTGTGTACGTAGATTTACATTGTAAAAAACTTGGAACTTGAAAGTTAAGAAATTGGTGCACAGTTACCAAAAATTCTCTTACCACACAAATTTGTATTTGAATGTAACCACTTTTTTACATGAGGAAAATAGTCACAAAAGCTGAAAAAAACCCTAATTGACAATGATACATGTGCATGTGATTTGCCTCAGAATACTATGTAATACTAAAAAGAGTACACAGTGCTAACTGTGACCACATCAAACCAAGGAGAAAATCAAAAAAAGACTGTCCTACTGTGTCCACTTCCTGACAACAGCACAGACTAAGCTACCACGCGTGGACTTGGATGGCCATGTTGGGTGGCTGTGTGTGTGTGTGCATGCATGCCCAGTGACAGCCATTCTGAAAATCACCGTAGCAAATGCACAAACACTTGCTCAACCTCAGACTTTCTAACTTGCTGCTGCTCCAGTTTTGTCACAAATGATAGATAGTTTCTTGTAGTTTCAGAGATTGTAACTCCAAGAAAACTGTACGTTACTTGGGAGAACTTTTAATTGTTCATGAAACTGACAAGCTATATGCATTTATTCAAATTGCAAAATCAGTTGAAATGAGTGTGGTTCCCTGGGTAGAAAACAATTTATCGGCTTCACTTCACTTGGATGTCAAAATGTCACATTTTAGTACTCAAAAAGGATACATGCACACGTACATGTACCTTTACATGAGCACAATGTATGTACATATGCAGTAGTCTACTTGTACATGTATGTATGTCGTTCCTATTTTACTGGAAGCACGTTGGCTGACGGCACGGCATGGTCAACTGTCATAGTGGACAGTGAGCTGTTACAACCGTGCAGACTATAGCCGCCATGCAGCTAGATTTGATGTGGGCATTGTAAATGTCTTGTAGGATGTCAGTCAAGGTAGAAAATAAATTTATATTCACAATGTACATGTACATGTATTAAGTACATGTATACTTGTAGCAGTCTTAATAGCAAAGCGCACGATGAAGATAAGAGCATGTTATTGAATTTGTTCTATGAAGTCAATATTTTCAGTATTTGGTACCTGTATACCTGTAGTAAGCACTTTATTTGATGACTACAATTTTATTTCAGGCCAGGACATAGTTTCTGTAGTTACATGCTCTTCAATTCAGTTGGCAATCAGTAAATTGTGTTTTCCTCTTTGATATTTCTCAGACAAACATGAGTGCATTCATATGTTTACTGTTAATTTCAACCAGTAGAAAATACATGTATGAGGAAATATTGTTATGGGATGTTTTCCGGAAATATTTGTAGTATGTGAGTGTTAAATAGCAGTGATGTACATACATATACATACACATTGACATGTACATTGTACTGGACTTTGCACACTTTTCATGACTTTCAAACAGGGCTTATGTTTCTGCTGCACAGCTTTTGGTATGGGCATACTTTGTAAATTTGGACATTGTAACGCATTAGGAGATAGCAATGTTATCTACGTATAGGCATTACCACTTGAATCCAAACTATATTTTTTCTCTGTAAATTTGAGAGATATTACTGAAATGTTGAGTCAGCATGTATTGTCTTTCCCCTACTTTTCCAGACATGTGATACCATACCGTATACGACAACTGTTGCTGCCTATTTATTCCTGCATGAAACTGTACTTGACGCGGTCAGGACTTCCTGATACATATCAAAACAGCAGCACCGGTGATGAACAAGAGGTATTTGGCTAATGCAGCTCTGTAAGCTAGTGCCATTTGGTTTGGTGCATAAGGCAGCATAGTCATGCTCCCTTAGGCATGCAGAAGGCATGAATCCAGACAGGCAAGTCTACTTGAATGCTGCAATGGCTGGGGGCGACCACGGCTTGGGCTACACAACTGTGCCCATGGGCTGGAATCGTACTATTTGGGGTGATGGTTCTGTTGTGTACGTCAGGTAAGAGACTCCGCATCTCTTTTTTGTATCCTCTAGGTTGTCAGTGTAAAGGAGGAAGTGTGTTTATTATGTTTATCAGTGCTGTAAATGGTAAAAATGCATTTGGAATATTCAGTTTTATGGGCTCCATAGTCTAATGACCTGTGTAAGCATAAGAACATTGTATATTTATGTGCATGGGAGACCCCAATAATGGTTAGATCACCATGTCAATTATTGTATTTTAGAAAACCACCCTGTGGTGGTTATTCTGATCAGCTGTTTACTGTTTGTTGTCTTGAGTGTACAGTCTAGTATCCTGTGCATGGGATCCCTCCCGTGTACAGATGTATTTGACAGTAGTACATGCACGTGATGTGCTCCATTGGCAAGATAGTAAGCTTTGCGTTACATGTATGTACAGGCAGATGCCTGTTAAGGTTTGAGGTGCACTCAGTCCTGTATAGAATAGTCCAGCTGTGATGATACAACATTCACAAACAAATTACACATATTCCTTACCCTGAGATGCAGGTGCATTTTGGAAAGTCAAAGCATGTTGTTGCATGATTGGCTGAGAATTCATACGAAGCATGCATTCAACCTCCATGTGGGTGTGGCACTTCGGCAGTAATGGCTGCTGTTTATGTACTGGTTACTAAATAAGTCAATGAACTACCCAGTTGCATTGTGAAGCTTGATTGCAATGACTTTGACGGTGCATAGACTGGGGTGAGCACATTATCAAAATGCCCTAACTTGGCTTTTTGTGAGTAGGCCTGGTGTTAAATTCGTACATACATTCCATAATTGAAGCCTCAGACACGTTTGGTGGAACTTTGTTCTCTTCTTCAGTGTATGAGAACTGCATGTATTTGACCTTCTTTTTGGTTTGTTTGACCAGAAAGGTGCACTTTTAAAAGATTTCAGATTGTTAATGCTTCTCTTGAGAACTGAGAGCTCTGTTGGCGTGAAGTTGTGTAGGGAAGACACTTGCAGTTTGCAGGTTTTTTGTTTTTTTTTCTGTTCAATTTGTGATCCAAAAATTACTCATCAGAAACATATTGGCTTATTGCCAAGCACAATGCACATGTACCTGTACTTACACAACAGTGAATCACTGAAAGAAAAGGAAATAGAGGTCATCAGTTGCCAAAAATTGGAGCATTTTTTTGTGCATAGATAAATCCACATGGAGGTTTTCTCCCCTGGAAAGAGATCATGGTTTTGCCCATCAAAATGGAAGCATGAACCAAAAATACCTTCCAAAATGGCAAAACCCAAAATTGAAAACAAGGTTAATTTGAAACAGAAAGGTGCATTTCAAGGATTGTAGCGAAAACAAATTGCATTGTGTAGACCTTTTAAGGAAAGAGGTCTACAACCATTTATTCTTTACTGTCTCCCGCCTTTCTGTATATAGCCCAAGCGGTCACCTTTTGCACTGTGCCGAAGACCTGCAGCGCTACCTACTAGCCGAGGGCACCTGTAAGTGTGGGCTGGAGTGCCCCCTCATCATTGACAGGGTCTTCAACTTCAACCCCCGGGTGCCGGCGCGGCCCAAGCTCCCAGCTGATGTCCTGGCGGAATGCCAGCTGAATTCGCTCTGCAAGCACCGGCGCAAGCTGGTGGCCATGGCCATGGGGTTGCAAGGGAACGAGGAGGCTCTGGCAAACGTTGGCCCTCCTGGTGGGGGCTCAGTGTTTGGCCGAAGCAAAGGTGAATATAGTTTTGCTGGAATTTGTCACTGTTCATGCAATGTGATGCGTTCATGTTTTTTATTTGGTACTCCAAACTTTATATTTTAAAGTTTAATTTCACATGTTTCCTATTACATATTAGTAACCAGCTTTCTAGTGAGTCCTTGCAATGGAGCATTTGTCTACAGTAATAAGTAGTAGATTAAATAAGCTCCAAAGCTTGATTTAGGAGAATCCTGTTGTTAACCCTTGAAGTAATTTAGTATACTGTATAGTTCACTTGCAGCATGTAATGAAAGCAGTAAGCCTACATAGGAAAGCCAACTAGAGTGTAATTACTGTAGGTATGTTTTTTTTTTTACTTGTGCATATTTTCTTCACTTTATTTGTTTGCAGAAGTAATCTATTCTTACAGCTTTCATTTAGAAGAGTATATGTATACATGTACATATGAGCAAATTCTCAGACATGTCATAATGGCTGCTCAAGTATGACTGGATTTGGGTTGATACTGTACCTGACGACTCTATGATATTCATGTATTTGAATGTACATGTACATGTATACAAGTAGATGATTTTCAGTCGTGCGATTTTTGACTGTCAGCATTCATTTACAGAGATGTGTATGGAAATGCGCAAGCCTTTGAAGTTTCTCAACATTCCTGCGTTCATGAAACTGCCAATAGAAATGCATGTACACAGTTTTGGAAATGCACGGACACGGTGCGCTTCCTGAAATACCTTTGCCTGTCGTGTTATGTCACGTGGAAAAGCTGTATATATCCTCTCGCTGTGCTTAGGCATGATTACATTTTGGCTTCAAAATAGAGTCTGTCAGTGAGGATTTGTGAACATCTTTATGCTGAATACATGTACATGATTGAGTATTATTTCATAGCTGCGTGTGGTAATAATACCAGTAAACGGTTGTTTCACAAACTCAAACTCAACCATGCATAGCACAAGTTTCATTTGTTAAAAAAGAGCAACTGACGGAAAATATGTTTGATTAGTACTTGCAGAGTGGAAATTAGGCTAACAAGGTCCATATTGTGTGCAGTGACAATGTGCATGGACCTGCCATATGTCCCGTCCACCACATGCATGCAACAGTAACTATCTTGGAAAATAGTTGCTGAAGTGTTACAAACACAAGCGTTGAGACCTCAAGGAAAATTGAAAAAAACAATACAGAAAGGGGGAGCAGGTCGTACCAAGGGTGTCCATGTCAAAGAGTTTTCAGAATTTTGTTCATTTCCAACTGTGTTTTTTTTCCAAGGCAAATTAATTGTATTTGCACATGTATATGTATGTGTGTGGTTTGCTTTTATTTTGTAGATACATTTCATTGACTTTTAGCTTACCTTTTTCACCCCAAAGAATTTTTATCAGATACCTCCTGAACATCAGTTTTCAGGGGAAAAAAATCTTCATCTTGCATTCATCAAGAGTACGGTACAAAAGCTATTCACATGTGGATGTTGTGCATCCTACCAATCTTGAGTGGTTTGACATGCACATCTGTTGCATTAATTAGGAGTAATAAGCATTTGTGGATTTACAGTGGACATTCCAAAAGTTACAGGGAAGGTTGAGCAAGAAATGCATTTGGAATGAATTCACCAGGCCTCTGAATACACGGACACTGCACATGTACATGTACCCGGAATGTGCATAATTCGACGCTCACAGGATATGCATGTTACATGTACATGTACTAATGACATTCATGTACACGTAGTGCACATAAAAATTATTATAGCATGGCACAGAAAAAAAAAAAACCGGAAAACATTATTCCCATAAAATTGAGGGTTCTGCCAGCATGCTGGCTCTACCACACACATTTAATTGCAAACCTACATGTACAAATCATTCAGACACATTTACAGTACCAGTATATGTGCACTTCTCTGTGTAACTTTCAGTCTGTGGCATTCTATGATTTACATTGACTTGTTTTATTCTTTTTGTTCTTCAAGTACACGTACATGCACACTGCCTTGTCCTGAATGTATGCGTGTACAGGTTATTCAGACATTTGATCTGAAATGGTTGTAGCACATGCACTTACTGTACATGTATGTATAGTGCTTGTTAAGTTTTTATATTAGACTTGTAAAGTGCCTATATGCTTTATCCGATTCGTAAGTGACTTCGTCACAAAGGCGGACGCGCCATGATTTGCAGGCTCCCATTGGACGATCACTGAAGTTACGCGTAAACTTCTGGCTCGATGTAAACTGCGATCAGTGCATGTAACTCTATGTGCAGTGCTTGTGCAGTGGGCGTGGTTGAAATTGAAGTGACGTCACAATTACGAACTGGATATTTGTAGTCAGATCTTAGTACAAGTTTGCACAAACTTAAATGTGAATGCTTGGATATGTACATGTGCTACAGGGACATATATACACATACTTACTAGTACATGTACTTGCATCTCCCACATAAGGTCGTCATTTCATATATGTACATACATGTACACAAAGACCTGCATACTTTGGTGAATTTGCCACTAGTACCTGACTTTGTGATAATGTACTGATAGGCCTTCATACATGTACCTGATCAATGTCAACATCATGCTGTACAAATTCATGTATTTTCTCCACCAATCTGCACTGTATTTCAGTTTATTTCATGTTTTATTTGGTCAGATGAAATGCTCTACAAATTCCTGTCACACCATTGAATGACTTGGTATAAAAATTATTTGTAAATGTTTCATTTTTCAAAATCTGAATCAATTTTAAAGGGGTGAGATCTGCTGTGTTTCCCGGCTCCAGCTGAAAGGACTGGTTCTGTTAAATTTCTCAACACACCGATGTACTGAAATGCAATAAGGCAGGCATGGAATGCTTTGGCATTTATACATTGTACATAATAGATATGTCTCTACCAAATACTGTGTGTCCCTGTGACTTTCCAGGTTATCTTGTAATGTAACTTTGAAGTAGAAATGTTGTACACTGTATGTACAGCAACGGTATCGCCAGTACATTCATTTGTTGGCTTGCTTTAATTTTGATTCAGAATACATACATGAACATGTAAGTATTCATGTACCTGGATGTGTAGTAATATTGACATGCACATGTCCACGTACTGGTAGGTTTATTGCATTTAATGTAATGACCTTTGAAGAATTTTCTTCCAATATGACTCCAACGAATCAATAATTGAGAGAGCGAGAGAGATGCATGAGATCTAGTCTTCAAACAGTTTTGTTTTTTGTGTGGATTGTTGTTATGACAGGTACTCGTAGAAGTGTGTTTGCATACTGTTTGTATGAATTTCAAACAGGTTGGGATTAAATGTCTTGCAAAAAAGAAACCTGTGAAATTTATTGCTACGGGTGATGCAGGAGAATCGATACATGCATACCGGCATACTGATAGCAAGTGGTACAAAACTAGATACCTAAAGACAACTGGTGAATTTGATGGGGTTTCTTTGTTAAGTGTTGGTACAAAAGGACTACATGCATACGTGTACATGTACATTGCATCACAAAGATGCATTGGAAATTCAACGTGCCGTTTCAACCCAAGATCTGAAGGATAAATGTATGTACACTACGAACTGTAAAGTGATATTGTCATTAACCCTAACACTCCTCAGTCCTCCAACAGGTGAAGGATTGAGGAGGGTTCGGGTTAATGAACAAGGTAATCATACGCATGTACCGGCATGTATTCCATTTTATTTTGTTTCCCTTTTCATATGCAGTTCCTCAGTCCTGATTGAGGTGTGCGATCGCACATGCGCACTATCGCATCTCCAGAAGCTTCCACAAAGGCGGAAATAATTGCCATTCTCTCTGTACCACAACCATTTTTCAAAATTTATGTAAATCACACATGTAGAAAGGTGTAGTTGTATTTTTTTTCATGGCTGTGTGGGTTTAAAATTTTTTTTTTACAAATCTGAAGGAGTTTGTACATTGAATAGGTGAAAGTGGAGAAAATCGTAAGCAATTTGGTTTGTTCAATTGGATTGACCTGTGCTTAAAAAATGGACGGTACTTGTGCTCGTGCAAAGTGGCGTACTTTTAGTAACGTTTTGTCCAGGTAGCAAGTGATCTGCTTTTGAATGCTGAGTGGTACAATAGCACACAACATGTTTGTACAGATATATTTAAGCTTGTTTGTGTTACCCCATTTTGCAGGTTCCAAGAGGTCAAGATCAAAGTCCAAACCAGAGAGTGGTGTTGACTTCCAGCCTCAGAACATGCCGGCATCACAGGTCTTAGCCCTGCAAGGTGGCCACATGCATCACATTCCTGGCATTGCCAACTTTGTGTCACCGTTAAAGTCTTTACCCTTTGAGCACCAGCTGCAGCATCATGCCATGGACTCACAACAGCGCCAAATCCAAATGCATTTCCTGCAAATGCAGCGCCCGGAACTCCTGCAGCAGTGCCAGCAGGTGCAGCACCGGCTGCACCCTCAACAGCGACCAGCCCCTTTGCGGAGAGGGAGCCAGGAGGTTGAGTCGTCATGGCGTTCATCTGCTGAGCAGCATGCTCCAGAACAAAGAGCAGGGAAACAGCTTCATTCCAGTCCACCTTTGCCATGCCCAAACAGGCCTTCCTCCAATAATGCTACTGCAGGGCCACAAAGCACTCCCACCGCTGCAAATCCCCTCGTCACTGCTCCAACATGCAGTAAAAGTCCAAGGTTAAGCAATGAACTCCTGTCGCCAAGCCCAAAAGAGAAACAATCTGCTCATGGCCACAGTGCACTGCCGTTCCCTTTTCAGAGGGAGGCACACCAGCTTCTTGTAGATGGGCAAACTCATGGCATCCACTCTGATGCATGTGCTCCTACAGTAATTCCACTGCTCAGTAATATTTACCATGCTCCAAACAGGGCTTCCTTAATAGCTGCCAATATCAATAACAGTCCAGCATTATTTGCAAACCACAATGATGAAGTCTTTTTTATGCAAGATGGAGCTAAGAAGGGTCCACCCCAACCTGTTCAGGATTCAGTGGAAGTCTCTACTTGTCAACCAGTGGACAAAAATAAACTGGGGAGAAAATCTCCTGTTGCTAGTCTGAACGTTAGCTCCCCATCGCCAACAGCCAGCAAACCTATCACTATGCATTCTTCAAAAGTGGATAAGCAACTTACAGCCAGCAGTTTGACATTACAAGAAATATTCAAGCAGTCACTTGAAGGAAGTGCCTTCCCTGCAAGTAGTCTGCTGTCAGCAGCTGCCAGAGCTCAGCTTGCAAAGCAGCCTCAGTTTCCGGATGGTCCCTCAACCCATCATGCCGGCGACCTGATGTCTGGCATGGGTCTGTTTACTAAAATGTCATCAAATGTGACAGGCAAAGACCCAAAGCTTGATTCAGGGTCTTTGCCCAGTGGTGACAGTGTACAGTCTTGTGAGAACAGAAAACTTGTCGCAAAGTCAGGAAATGTGGACACTGTTCAGTCCTCTGAGGTGTTTGTCAAACGCTCCTCTTCAAACCCTCAACAAACAGATGAGTCCCCAATTCAGTGCCTAGAGAATGCCGTACAAAACTTGCAAGACCAGCCTGGTACGTTAAGGCCAACTACATGTATATCAGTCATTGCAGTTTCTACTCCAGATGTTCCCCAAGTTAGCTCTGCGGAAAGGAAAAGGCCAAGTACTGGAGGCGTTGAGGAAATAGTGGAACCAAGCGTTAAACGACAAAGATTACAAAGTACTGAAACTTCGCATGAACGTGCCTCTGTGGAAGCAGAGACAAAACAGTCAGAAGCTGCAATGTCAACTCACCAAGTGCCTGCAATAAACTCGGAAAAAGCCTTACCAATGCACCACCACGATACAACCAAGGTAACTGGCTCCTACAATGTTGTCTGTTCCACTGGAAAAGCTGCAAGCTCTGGCAAACATCCAACTGTGGAAAATGCAGAATTGGTAAGGTGGCAGCAGCAGCAACAAGAGTGGTACGCCACCATGCTCAGAGCGAAACAGCAACAGGATGCTGGAACTATGCCTGTTGAACATTTTCCTCACATGGGACCTCAGATTCGATCAAGAGGCCTCCAGGAGCTCCAGTATATTGCCATGGGTGGCAATCCTACACCCAGGATGCCAGCTATACAGCAACAACCCAACATGGGTCATATGCATAGATTCCCTAATCAATTCATGAATCCACAATTCTACCCCCATCAGGCTAACTTGATGCATCACGTACACAGAATGGGAATGCCCAGCAGAATGGAATATCCCGTAGACTTGTTAGATCCCAGAATTGCTCAGAATTCAAATATGTGTAATACTAACATCCTACAGTCGATGCTTCAACAGCAGCAGCAACTTCAGCACTTGGGCATGCTTCAGCCTGATAACTTACACCACCCCATGCATGTCATAAATCCTATGCATCATGTGGACCCCTCTCACCATATGTCTCCAGCAGATATGTCAAATCTGCAGCAGGCTCATGGACAAGGCACCCCTAAATCATCAACACCTGCACAGCGCAAGAAAAGTACCAAATCTGTCAGGAGTGCAAGCGCCTCTTCAAGCACCACATCCACAGTGGACCTACATGTAGAGGATCAAGAAACCAAGGATGCAGCTTATTGGGTCAAGGCTGCATCCAAAGTAGGGGGAGTTAAGAAGGTCAAGGACATTCTCGCCATGACAAGGTCTTTGAAGAAGCACAACAGTGAAGCAGGACAGGTTGAGGCAATCTTCCAGGCTGTTTTGGACTCTGCTAGTGGCGGAGTGAAAGTAATCATCAGAGAGGGGACACGATCTCAGGAGGGATTGCCCTCAGAGAATGCTGACTCTGACAGAGGGAAAGAATCCAATAACTCTCCAAAAGCTTCTACTGAAACTATGGAAACAACGGAGACCATGTGTGAAGTATCTGAACAGACTTCTAGTTCCTGTAATCAAGAGCAACAAAATACAGATGAGCTTTCTGGCAACATTCATTTGGGTAAGGACTCACCATCACATGATGCACTAAATGTTGTTGCCCAAGAGACACCTGACAAAGAGTCCTCTATGGCACCAACGTCAAATAGCCCAGATATGCCTCCATCACAAGTGGAACCTGGCGAGGTGCATTTCACAAGGAAGCTTCCCCAGTCCACTTTAACTCAGACTGAACTAAACCCAGAAATCATCGATTCACAGACTAAAGACTGTGAGCTGGTGGCTGTGGGTGGGGATGAAGTTCTGTCTTCTGTACAATCTGACAAGGATCACTCAGAGAGTCCAGTCCATGAAGCAACAGCATTGGAGGCAGAAGGATTCTCTGAAGCCCACCACAAAGCAGACACGCCGGTGAATACTTCTGATATGTTGCACATAGAAGTACCTCATGATAAAAACCACGTTGAGCTAACTCAGAGAGAAGTTCCTCCACTTCAAGACGAAAAATTTCCTGCCTCTGAACAAGCCCTGTGTACATTGCCAGACCAATCAGTAAAATTACACGTAGCTGACAGCCCAAAGCCAGCAAGTGATCCAGGCACTGACATTTCTAGCAGTGGGCATGAAGTGGAGAGTGGTCGAGTTGAAGACTCTGAAGCTGATGATAAGCGCCAAGAGGAGCCATCCCACTTAGATGAATCAGGTGATGACTCAAGTGGGGAACACTCTGACGAGCATAGTGGTGTTAATGCTGGCAACAGTGATGATGGCATTGAAGCCGAAGAGCACTTGATTCTGTCTTGTGAAGAAAAAACACCCATGGATCAGTTTTCAGAGCATGCTGAAGCAGCTGCAGTCATATCACACGAAAACAGCTGTGTGATACCGGTAGATGAAACAGTGCCAAATACAAATAATTTTGAAGATCTTTCAAGTGATGCTTGTGAAAAAAGGGACACAGAAGATGCATTAGACAGTATTACTGAGCGGCAGGGAAGTCTGTCTGACCAGCTGGGCACTACCCAACTTGATGCTGCAGATGATGATTCTCCTCAGAAGGACCCCAGGGAAACCTACATTGATCAGGTAGAAGTAAGTGCAACAATTGATCAAAGGTGCTCCTTTGAGATGGTGGACACAGAGTGTACAACATCACTCCCAGATGGAGGATCCAAGGTAAGCTTAAGCAGTGACCTTGAAAGAGGTCATCTTTGTGATGCCTCAGGAGAACTCACAGATAGGATGGCCCCTGTTAGTGACATGGATCTCTTGCATGAAGGAAAAGACCCAAAGGCTCCAAGCAGGTCATGCTCCCCAAATCCTTTGGTTGACGTGGCGGACAGATCAGTCCAACATCAGAGTGTGGAGGATGTTAGTGTTCAGCCCTCAGAAACAATTACTGCATTCCATCACAGCAATGACAGCAGCAATGATAATACAGTACTGGGCTCAGAGGATGTTGATTGTTCTGCTATGATAATGGAGTCTGAAGAACTGAATTCATCGCTAGACAGAGGAGAGACACTTGTGAAACAGGACACAGCCAAAGAGCAGGAACAGATGGAAACAAGTTTGCCCCAAGGACAACTTCATGAATGGATGGATAGTGAGCCAGCTGAACAGTGTAAACCAACAGACAGCGACAGAATAAAATGTGATGAAGAAGTTGATAATCAGCCATTGGAACCCACAGTGGAGAGACATGTGAAACACAGTAGAAGTAGTGAACCTGAACAAATGGAAATAGATACACCTGTCACTGACATAATTCAGCATGTACAGCCATTGGATTATGAATCAGCAGAAGAAGACCTACGTGTACTTACAGACAGTGAAATATTGAAACATGATGAAGTAATGGATAACGACTCATTGGAAGATAAAGTGGCTAGTGACCAGATAAAACATGATGCACCAGCTGATGATGTAACAATAACACAGGAGGGCATTGAGGACACTCAACCTGTTGATCTGGATCCTTTCATAGGCACTGAATTACCTGAACAAAAGCAATCAGTTGACAGTATACCAGCGTGTCAAAGTTCGGTTATTGATCAACATGATTCAACGCAAGAGCTTGAAGCAGTTGAACAAGTGCAGTCATTGGACACTGAACCAATGAAGCAAACTTCAAATGAGGAAGACCAACTAGTGAAACAGAATCCTGTGTCATTACCAGATGAGTTACTGCTTCATGATGAGTCAGTGGACACAGCGGTTGTGAATCAAGAACTTGAGAATCAACCAGCTGCATGCCATCCATCGGTAGACAGTGGACCAGTGCAACAGGAAAAGCCAGCAAATCAAGGTAGCATGATAGATGATCGACCAGTTGACCATGACAGTCAACCAATGGATTTTGAACCTGTAAAACAAGATAGCACTGTGGTTGATGAAGAAGAACTGGATGTGTCTGTCACTGAATCAGTGGAAGTGAAAGAACTAGGTACCCTCCAAACAGTACAACAAGAGCATGTAGGGGACACTGAACTGAAGGAACAGGTTCATTCAGTACAGATTGAAATAGCAACACAAAATCAGTTGACTGAAGAAGATGAAGATGCTGGTACAGGGTCTGTTGATCAGCGTCAAGTGGATGGCATTGAAGCAACAAAATCGGAGCATTCAGAAAACACTGACATGGACGGTAACTTAGAAGACAGTTCCCCACGGGAACAGTGCCATGTACACGACAATGAACTACTGACACAGCGCCTCACTGACACTGTTGAATCATCATGTGAAGGTGACTTGGCAATAGGCGAAGAATTGGATAGTCATAGTGCACAAGCTGGCTCAACTGTAAAACCAGATCATGCTTTTAACAAAGAATCGGATCTGCAAGAGCAGTCGACTTGCTCAAGTTGTGATGCAACAGATGACGCTCACATGACGAGCACTGAACCAGTGGAACAACATTGCGCGGATTACGGAAGAGCAGACACACCAGGTTGCACCGAACATATTGAACTGGTGAAAAAGGCCAGATTAGAGTGCAAGAATCCAGTGCGACAAAATGACCTAGAAATCAGTGGACTTAAAGCAGACAGTCCTTTTGGAGCTGCTGACACACTGGACCAAAGTCAAGACCCACAAACAGTAAAACAAAAAGAAGCAGTTGACTGTGAATCTGTTAGAGGAGATAGTTTGATAGAATGTGAACCAATGGAACAACTTGAAACTGTGCCGTTGGAAGAGGATCTGATGGACAAAACTTTTGCTTGCACCAGACCTGATGATTCATGCGATAATAGAGACACAATGTTAGATGAAGTTGGGTCACAACAACAGGCTTGTCAGGCTACTGAGCTAACTTCCTCCATTAATCAAAATTTAAAAAATGACACAGAATCTAGTGATGAAGATGGTAAAAATGTAGTTAAATCAAATAGCAATATGTCTTTTGCCAAAGAGGAAAACACGGCAGCACATTCATATATCTCTGTTGAAACACAGTCCCTGGAAATACAGCATGCAGCTCTGGGATTTGAAAGGACTCCTGAAGAAGACCCCATCCCATCAGAGGCACCTTCAGAAAGCCAAACTGCTCCAGAAAGTGACAGTCTTGTGACTCCTCAGGGTGATTCATCTCATGCCGCCACAAAGTCAGTGGCAAAAGAAAGTACCTCACAACCTTCACAATATCCTAGTGATGGCTCTGAACTCAACTCACATCCATGCAGAAGTGTTGCAGGATCAACTCACAGTTTGACTCTGCCCTCATCAGAAAATACGCCATCTTGTGTGACCTTTGAAACCTTGGCACACAGCAAATTGGTGTCCAAGAGTTCACCATTGGTTGTAAATGGACCACCGTGCATAGACGTGGATCCTGTTGAAGAGGTTCATTTTCCTGACACTGTCATCCTTTCAGAAACAGCAGCAGCCTCTGGGCAGCAAACTCTGTCTGAAGCCCTTTCAAGCCCACAAGTTTCGTTCCAGAATGCAGAAGGTTCCACCCCTAATGGGATACTGGAGTCTGAGTTCCTGGATGGTGTGCCCAGAGGTTCAGAGTTGTCTCATGATCAGCACTCAGATAATCCAAGCCAAGAGGCCATCTCTGAGGGAGAAACACAGTCCCGATCAGATGATGAACGGGAAAACAGAGAGAACAAACCTTTGACAGATGAGCCATCTGTCCAAGAGATGTGTACCGTTAAGAGGGAATCCAACTTGAAAAGGGGTGTCTCTGAGACTCAGAAGGGAGTATTTAGTGCCAAGGATGCAGGATTCAAGAAAGAGAGACTAGCCCAGGAGGCTCCTACTAGGGTATTACGTGGCAATGTCCGAACAGGTTAGTGAAGTTCGGCATTCATATTTTTTAGTTCCATCAGGGTATACCACTAATTTAACACGGATTTTGGACACCTTAACCCAAAAAGAGAACATGAACTTACAAATGATAAACGAGCAATTGCTAGTACTCCACAACAAACTTGGTAAAAATAATCTTTACATGTGAGAAGACTCATTATTGAATTTGGATTTATCTGACAGCCAGAATTAGAAGCAATCACTGTGATAACACTGCACCAGAGTTGTAATAAGTTCAGTCAAGCCATTGTAAAGTAGTGACTTTAGTTGAGTCATTGTAACGTATTGACTCAAGTTGAGTTATGCAAGGATTGAGTGAGTCAAGTATTCAGCTCAAGTCAATTCGAATAAAAAATATTTGAGCACAACTAGATAAATCAAAACAAGAGAAAGTCATTTTTTGTCATTTTAAATTTTTTTCTTAAGATGTGGTCACACCACATCTTTCTCCAAATGATAATTACACATGACACAAACATAGACCAGCACTGTAAGTCATTATATTTGTTTTTTTTGCAAAGAAGTTTGCTTTTATTTTGAGACTCAAAATCTTATTTACTTTTACTCCAGTCAGGTTTTCTGATGAGGGATTTGAGTTGAGTTGAGTTGCCAAATATTGTGACTTGAGTCAGACTCAAATCGAGTCATTGACTTGAGTCATTACAACCCTGCACAGGGGCTACACTGGCATCAAATCAGGGGTTAAAATGAAAATTACCCCAGCATTCCTCAAGCCATGCCATGCATATTTGCACCTGCATGTGGTATTTTTTTCACTGGGACTCTCTTGAGTGGTTGCATAGTGCTGTAGATCTCTTCCTGTGCAGAGGTCACAGACAAGTGGAGTTCTTTCATTTCTTTCATCGCTTTGTCCGGAGTTCACCCTAATTTGGTTTCTTGTTTTGTCAGACTCGTCCACAGAGTTTAACACGTCGTTGTTCCCTCGCCACTTGGAGATTGGGGATCTGGTGTGGGGACCCATCAGGGGTTACCCATCTTGGCCAGGGAAGCTGGTCAGTGAAGCAGAGGTCAGAGGTCGCTCCAGGAGGGAAGAGGGAAAGGTATGCCCTGTCGTATGTCCTGTTGTGGCTCACACACATGCTGTAAATTACTCCATGCCGGAAATGGTCGCTGAGCACCGCTACTCCAGTTGATCAAAATGGCACAGATTTCGTCATTTCATGTATTGCAGAATCTAGGTTAATAGGATTTGCTTCCCTCTCTTTGTTTTCAAACACAGATGATTCATTTTTCAGAGTTTTCTTTCCCTGGAAAAAGATATATTCTAATTCCTCTATAAAATTTAAATGGCTGTTTAACTCATCACTCTGAATGTGTCAAAATCAAACATTGGGGTTTTTGCAGCCTTATGGGAGGTTCTGTATTACATACATGTAGCCCTTCCACTATTGCTGGGTTCATGTCTAAATTTCTTTAACCTTATTAACCTAACCTTCTCGGCCTTTTTACTAGAACCATCCCGAATCCTCCAAAATCCTCAGATTTTCAACATGAAAAAATTGCATTCAGCCCAAATCCTCCAAAATTTCTTGAATATGTCATTTGGAGATGTCCTAACTGCCCAAATCCTTCAAAATCCTCCAGCAATTCCTGTCATTATGTTGAGGCTGTATGAATGACACTCTTGACCTGTGCAGTTGATTCAAAAGAAATATCAGGCTGAATTTGTGCTTGACTAAGCACAAGAACATAAGCTCTAATCCACAACCTTCACGTGTGGTATCCTTCAAAATCAACCATGCACCTTTGCCGTACACCCTGAATCCTCCAAATTCTTCCACTTTACAGATTTTGGAGGATTTGGGAGGGTTAGGGTTAATGAAATTCGCAAATTATGTCTTTTCATCATCAGATATTTTGATCAAAACAATAAAATTTGACTTTTATGACTGTATTGTTTATGTTAAATACTAATTATCACATATATAGCAACACAAATTGAGATTTCATCCCAACTGTTCACGGCAGGTTAGTTTACTTGCCAGAAGAAACCTGTAACATAGAAAGGAAGGGAACCCATATATAAATTTGGGTACTACTGAATAACCACATCAAAATTTGAAGCCCAAACCATAGCCAATCAAGGGGCCTTATGTGCTTCAGTTAGCCTATACATGGCAGACACAACAGGAAGGTGCTATTTGGTTTGGGTAAAACCTTGTGGGTTTACTCCAAATGTATCCACTTCAAATAGGGCCCTCCTGCTGTGTCTGCCATGCTTCAAAAAAGGCTAATCTGAGCTGTGCTCCTTCAAATGCTCCTTCAAATGCTCGACATCCTTATGCAAATCTTTACCCAGATGTGGGTCCGATGGTTTGGAGATCACAGCTGCTCACAAGTCGAGCCTGAGAAACTGAAGACTCTATCCGAGGGACTGGAGGCACATCACAGTGCTAGGCAGAGCTACAGAAGGTAATCGGAGAGGAAACCAATTTGTAGGGACGGGGGCATAGTGGAAATTAAGCACCACCAAAGTCTGCCTTATACTGGCTTGACCTGACTGTACTTATTGAGGCACCAAGTCTGTGCAACAGACAATTCAGTGCTTCCTTGATTATTAGGCACTACGTTGAGTGCGCAGTTGCCTATTGGTGATGCGATCTGGGAAAAACCCATCAGACGTCCCTGAACTTTTTAGGGGGATAATGGCAAAATAGTCTCCTCTTTTTTTGACAATTTGAATTTTTTACCATTTCAATTGTTAATAATTACAACTTGCAATCTCTCAGTCTGTCAATTTTGTGTAATCTTAATGAAATTTTTCTCGGTGCTTTAAAGCTTGGTTTCTCAAAATGAGGGTTAACTGGTTTTTATAACTTCCTGAGAGCATTACCTGTAACAGATAACCTAGAATGAGGAATTAAACGGTTTTGAAAACAGCACAGTGTCCTCGTTAAGTTGATGGATAAAAGAAAATAATGACAAATTTCGACGTGTGAATGTTTTTCCCAGGTCACATTACATTTAAAGATGCAAAAGAGGCAAACATGGGCTGTGAACCCCCCTCAAAAATAGGTATTTAAAAATACAAGACAAGGTTTTGGGTGGATATTTCATTTGCATTTTCCCCCAAAGTGTGCCAAAAGGCCCCAAAATGTAACCTTACCCCAACAAGGACAACAAGGTTATGTAACAATTTTTTTTGCATTTTAGAGCCCCCCTCCAAAAACTTTTGCCCCACCCCCTAAAATTGGGTTCTGAATCTGGTATCGTGTCGTCCTGTTTCTCAACTATTACATGACTGGGCATACATCATGGACTTGAAGAAAGATTTTTCTGTTTTCAAGAATTCGAATCTTGCACATTTCTCCTAACCCAGCTAAATACACTGACATAATGTCCAATTTGTTGGGATGCCAAACTCAGTTACACATCAAAACAAAAGTTTGATTTCCTCTCAAGCTGCAAACTAAATATTGGCTCAAGACTCACTTTGTGGCATAGAAGCTGCAGGATTTTTATGTGGCTTTCTTATTCTAGTGTTTAAGGTTTTGTGTGAATATAATTCCTTTTTTTAAATTCTTGTAAGTTGATTCTGTATGATCATTCGTATGAAAATGGCACATAACAAATGTTCAATGGTTATTATTTATATAGAATTGAAATGAAGGTGCAAAAAAATTATGCTGAACCTTAGCTTTGGTTATGTGTTGTGTCGTAATACAGAATTGTACTGTTGATAATATTTTTGTATTCTTGATGACCTCTTTCAGCAGAGGGCGGAGGATGAACAGCACACTAGAGGCAGCCATCCAAGAAGCCATGAATGAACTGGACAAGAAAATGGAACAAGTAAGTAGGTGGGCTCCAGAGACTGAAATTAATCACCAAAAACGCTCTGATGTCATCATCATTTGCCAAATATGTCAAGGTCTCGCGAGATGTCGTGCGCGATGCGTAGTGTCAAAGTCATAGACTTAAAAGATGCTTTTGGTGTACACTCGGCAATTGCAGTGTATTGAAGAGCAAATTCTGAAGTCCTGAGTCTCTTGAGTTTTGGTTTCTCTACCTTTTTTAATATCAGAATTCCGGCCATCGCAAATTTGACCTTGTCAAAATGAGAGTTGACTGTATGTCAGCATTTGCTTTGTTAGTGACTTCATCATATACGAGCATTCTCTACAGATTACAAATGGCCATTAGCTAACATACCACTGCACTGCTTCCAATCATTCTATTCACACACCGTGTAAGTGGGTGTGGTTTAAGATGCTACACTGGAATGAACTGGATTACAAACTAAGAATGGTTGTGCATTATTGTCTTGACTCCACAAACGCGAATGTCTGTTGCAAAAGTTGAGCTTATCACTGATATGAATTGCCCTCATTCCCAAGTTGGCCATACTGATTTGAAAGTGAGTTTACTTTTGTTATTTTGGGAATCCAGGAATAAAATGAAAGCAACGAAAAAACGTCATCATGGATTAATTTGTTGATGATGAGGAATGATTGAAAAATATGTGTTCTTTTCTATTCAGTTGTACTGAGCAACATTTGAAAGAAATGGAGGTGAGGCGTGGCACCGTCTGGCACCATGCTATTTGACAAATTACAATGAATAAGATTTAGGGGACATGATCAAAAATGGCTTCCTTGTGAATGAGGTCTAACGTACGTGACCTCGCAGTCGCCAGGTCACCAAGTCTGATTGATTTTCACAGTAAGTGATGAAATAAGGTATTTGGCAACTATACAGTCACAGACTTTATTGGCTTCGCCTAAGGGATGCTAATTTATGACAGATTTTGCCCTTACACAGACATGTATACGTGTATTCACACTGCAATCAAATCCCACTTAATCCCACTGTTCACATCCCATTTCAGCAAACTTGTGATTTTTTGTTGGACCACATTGGGAATACAGTGTGAATATGTGCATTGGTGTAAGTGCAAAACCTAGCACACAATTAACACCTCCAATGTAAAGCCAATCAACATCATTGGCTACTTGCAATACCCGGTTGTACACTGGATTTGAGTCAGCTTGCTGATCCCAGCAAAATTGATGGCCGAGTGGTTAAGACATCTGCGCTAGTGGGCAGGAAGTCATGGGTTCGAATCCCACCCAAGCCACTTTCAGACCACACTTGGAACACAGTTTGAATATACACCTTGGTAGTTTCTGATGAGTAGGCTGGTTCCTCCACTTTGCATCCTGTGTGCATGTACACGTACATGTAAGAAAAGGGCACTTGCCAGCCTAGCTGCAAACCAAGACATAGCCACTTATGTTTTCATATTGTAGTCAATCTTGACTTAGTTAAATGTTTTTTCAGTGGTAGTTGGGTTGGGGTTGTAACAGATCTGTGTCAAGAGTTAGGGTGGACAGGGAATTTACCACAGCTGCTCTGCTGCATGCATCAATCAGTGTGAAACTCAGAATGGTTTAATCACTGAAAATGCCCTACATTTGTATATTGTAAGCAATGCTTGTTAAATTGTGAGGTGTTGGTCAAGATCGTTCCCTTTTCCCTTTACACTTTTTATTGGTGAATTGCAGATTATGTTCCCCTTACTCAAACAATGGTCTTTTTCTAGCTTGTGTTAAACGTACATTATCTAACTACATGTAGTATCTTCCACTCTACCTTTGCAGGCCAAAGAAACCAAATCCAAGTCAGTGCCTAAGTCATCACGACCCAAAACTAGATGCAAGAGACTAAGGTGATCCGGTCTGTGTAGAGTATTTATCTTTGCTTAGATATATCTTCAATAAGTTAAACTCAATATTGTTGTTAAACAGTATATATTTATAAAGATTTCAAGTATGACTACAAATTGTGGTGTGGGATGTTTTTGCCTCCATGGTGTTTTGCCACGTGGAGTGAGTCAGAACTAGAAACATGTTGAATGCTTCCTCTGACACGCTGCTTTTTAAGGCCTGAATGTGTATCGTTCCCATGTAAAATGCATTCTCCTTTAGTCAGCAGCTCGTGCAGAAGCCATTGTAATGTTTTTGTGAGAGAAGCTCCTCATGTAAGTTGGAAAGACTTAGCAGGTAGGGACCATGCCATGTTCCTAGAAGGAGCACTGCAAAACAAGGCGGGGAATGTTACCATTTGAACATCTCCCAAATCAAAGCTTGCACAAGAAATGTTTTGTTTTGTTTGCTGTGTTTATTTTTGGGCCAAACTCCTCAAACCCTCGTGGCTTTAACTTGTCTAAAAGTATTTGACACTTAATGGGGATTCTGTTTTGAAGCTCAGGCTGCAGTTTTCTTTGCTAGCTTGCGTCTGCTTTTTGTTTTTCAAGCAAGTGACAGGTTGTTAAAAGTGACACTTGGAATGGATGGTTTGTGCGGTGTTGTGAATTCCGTGTTCACTGACGTTGAAATCAGAAAAATGCTCTGAAGGGAGGGGTACAGAATACTTATTTTGAAGAGCAGTGTGTTTCAGTGGGATTTTAAATAATGAATTGCTGTGTGTTGATTTTTTTTAAAAAGTATGTCGATGTACCCTTCTCAGGCTGTCCTATCAACAGATCAACCCTAACCCTTTTTGGCCGTTTTGCTAGGCACCACTCTCAATCTTTCAAACTCCTCCAAGTATCCATTCAGGAAAATTCCGTTCAGCCTCAGTCCTCCAATATTTTCTTGAATACACGCAATGGAGGGGTGACCACTGCCTCAGGCCTTCAGAATCCTTTGGCAATTCCCGTCATCGTGTTGAGGCGGTGTGAATGGCACCCTAGAGCAGAATGGATGATTTCATGTATTATTTTGACATGACTATTTAAGCGAGACTGAGCATAAATCACACAAGGTCTAACCCACAGCCTCACTTCTGAAGAGTAGCAACTCAGTAGCAGTGTTCATTCACCAGCCCGTGAATGTGCATTAAAAATGTTTATGGTTGTAATGATGTTTTGAAAGTTTGACTTGACCTGGAAATGCTGAATTTTTTTTCACACCTATCTGTTTGTCTTTTTCTGTCCTTTGTTTGTATAATTGATATTTCATATTTTTGTGTAAGTAATCATGCATCATAAAATATTTTGATGTACAATTTTAATGTCAAATGATATTTGGTTCATTTTTCTTTCGATTTTTTTATTCATTCACTAGAAATAGTTTCTAAAGTAGTGGTTTTGTCCTCTATGAAGTAACAGTTTTTTTCTTTTTTTTTTTACTTTCAGTTTCTTGGTGCAATAAGAGAATATCAGACATGGTATCTTAAGCATCATTGCCAAAAAAAGGTGCGAAAAAACTGCTTAGAACTAGTTGAGCAGTGTGTTCAGTAATAAGTACACGCATTACATGCTGCACTGTCCGGGGTACATGCAGTGACATTCCATCCCTGCTGGTTGGAAAAACAAAAGTTCTCTCTGAAACAGGTTCACGCTCAACCAAATCTGTTGACTTGGAATAGACCTAAATGAGCAGCATGTGTATTTCACACCAAAAAATCTTATATCTCGGG